CTTCCCAAAGCTCTCCAAGATCTCTTCTCCAAGCCCTCTCTCCATAAAACTCAAACAACCAAAGACTTGAAACAAGTCTAATTAGAAAGCTTAAATACAAGTCTCACAAATAGCCCTAAAGTTTAATTCTATCGATAATGATCATATAGTATGATTCAAGATCGTATGGTATGATACAATATGATTTATGATCGTATGGTACGATTAGTTCAAAATACTCTTGTTATTGTATGAAAAGTAAGTCACTATATGATCGGTTCAAGGAATTGAACTGATGCCTAGTACGATTTGGAGCATCGTCCAGTATGATTATTTCAAATGATGTGTATTATCATCCAGTATAATTGACGATGAATAAATATCATCACATGCAGAAATCGGGTTGTACAGTACGATTGGTCCCAATAATCATGTACGATTTGACTATATTAATTAATCCAAAATTGTCCCCTAATTATATGATCAATTTAGACAAGATTTGATTATATAGTACAATATGATACATATTGTGTAGTATGATTAGTATAAAATTTAAATTTTAAAATATTATCTAAATTATGATTAGCAGTTTAGATCTTGATTTCAACTGATCATCTTGATGATTGGATCAGTAGATTAGTTCAAATAGCTTTAATTACACAATTAGTCATTTTAATGATTATTTGAATAGCTGATCGTACATTACGATATGGATCGTATAATACAATTAGTTAAAAAAAAAACATTTCTAATTTTCTCTCTATCACAGTCCCCTAAGTGTATGTGTGCACGGTCACCAAATTTAACATCCATCAAATATAGATTAGTTCAAATAGCTTTAATTACACAATTAGTCATTTTAATGATTATCTGAATAGCTGATCGTACATTACGATATGGATCATATAATACAATTAGTTAAAAAAAACATTTCTAATTTTCTCTCTATCACAGTCCCCTAAGTGTATGTGTGCACGGTCACCAAATTTAATATCCATCAAATAGATGACTTGACTCAAAAAATGTATAAATAAATAAAAAAAGAAAATATAGACTCTTCATGACACTTAACACTATTCTGCCCAATCTTGAGTTAATTAATTTACACGGTGTACAATAGACTTGAAATGTTAGTGTACAAGAAATAAATATGCAATAATAACAATAATAAGAGATAACATAGTAGAGAGTTTAACAATATTTGTTATCATCAAAATCACAAGACTTAAGTCTAGATTTGCAACAATATCCACTTTTTTATGATGACAAATATTATTGATAGTGATTTCAAATTTATTTTTGTAATGTCCTAAGCTACCCCTCACTATCTATTTTTAAATTATATTTATTACATGTTTATCAATTTTAATTAAATTATATTTATTATTCTAATTATGTAAAAAAAAAACTGATGGGAGCCAAATACATGATTCAAAGAGCTTTGTTCTTCTCTGCGTCTCCTCGATTTAGGTCTTCCTTCTTTGGCTTCACGTGTTACGGGGTGAAGTAAAGTTTTGAAAGAATCACAAAAGGAAGCTACTTCGCCCCTTTCGACAATGTTGTTCCTGTCGGATCGAAACTCACGACGGGAGTTCGCCGCGAAGGTAAGCATCTTCCCCCACCCCTCTTTCGCATGCTTCTTTGGCTAAATCATGTAAATTTGCCGTGCAGTGGCGCGAGAGATTTAATTTTGTATTTTGTGGCGTTATGCAGGATTTAGCTCAATTAAATCTGACGTAAATCCTGCATCCAAACGGGCACTAAGGGGTTGTTTGGTAACACCCAGGATTTCATTTAAGTAGGATTTCGTAAATCCTCTAAATTCAGATTTATGAAATCTTGGGGGGTTTAAATCCTGAAAATTGTTTTGTAACATTTATGATAAATCCTTTAAATCATGTGTGAGTGTTTGACTATTCAATTCAGGATTTAAAGTGATTAAGAGATTTGCCATGTATTTCTTAGATAATTAAATTACAACAATAGCAATTCAAATAAAATACAACAAAATTTCAATAAAAATACAATAATAACATAGATTTAAGATTAGTTTACTCGTTTAAATAATATTCTATTTAGTTAATATTAATATTTTTTAGAATTATTTAACTTTATAAGAAAGTAATTACGAAATAGTTGTAAAACTCACATCATTGAAATAGACTATTTAAATCATATAGAATCTAATCAACAAATGGATTATTTATTAATTTATAATTTATTAAGTTAATTAACTCATCATTTTCAGTTAGATAAATTAAATAAAAATAGTACGAGTTATACTAATTTAAATTTTTATCAAATTGAATTGAAATTATAATTAGCATAATCTAATATTTTTATTAATTATTAATTAATTAATTAATTAAATATAATAACTTTTATTAAAATAAATAATAAATAATATTAATTCATATGAGTTAATGTCTAATTAATTAATAAATATCAATTTTTAAGATTAATCATTTTAAATAATTCGCCCTAGGCCCGGTTTGCTTTTCGTCGTTGCTGCTCTTCTTCTGCTCCGTCGCTGTTCGACTTCGCTCCTCGAAGGCGTTCCGTTCCTGTTGGATCGGAAGTTACGACATTTTTTGATCGGAGGCAACAAAAGGGATCTCGCTTGCTGTGAAGGTAACTTTCTCCCTTTCGAGCGCTTCTTCGGCCAAATCCCGTAAATCAGCCGAACCAAAGGATTTCGTAAATCCGGGATTTACCACGAAAAGAGGGAATTTTCCGTCAATCGCTACTTTGATTTACCGTGAGATTTGGTTTTGCATTTTTGTCCGTTTGGCTGGATTTAGCTCAAACCCGCTTCAAATCCGGCATAAATCCTGCATCCAAACAGCCCCTGAGAAATTAGAATGCATGCGTTCGCTTTACTTTGCATTTTTGAAATAATTGCATTCTATATGCTTGCTACGAAGCATGCCTTTATTCAGCATTTGTGTCGAAGTTATCGCTGATCTCTTCCTCTTCTGAAGGTAAAGCGTATATATTAAATTGCTCAGCGAAATGGCTGCAGAAGAATGGCAGCTTGATGACTTTGAGATCGGAAAGTTCATAGGTGAAGGGAAGTTTGGCAAAGTCTATCTCGCTAGAGAAAAACAGGTAGATCCACTTCTGATTTATTCACCCTATTTCCCTTCTACAATTTCTAAAACCTACAATGAAGCAACTATACTTGTTTTCTTTTACCAGAGTGGATATGTCGTAGCGTTAAAAGTTATTTTCAAGAAGAAGCTGGAAAAGTATCAATTCTTTGGACATCTCAGGCGAGAGATTGAGATCCAACATAGCCTTGACCACCCTAATGTCCTCCGCCTATTCGCTTGGTTCCACGATGAGACTCGCGTCTTCTTGGTCCTCGAGTATGCTGCGCAAGGGGAGCTTTATAAGCTGCTCAAGAACTTGCTCCGCTTCTCCGAGAAGCACGCGGCTACGGTAAATTGCTTCACTATTCAAACCCTATTTTACATTTTAGAACCTGATATGTTTCAATTTTATTTTACTTAATTATGTTGTGGATTGTTTGCCAAAAGTATGAAAAAAAAATTTAAGATAAGCTTCATATCCAAATTGAATTTAGGGTCAATTTCACATTTTCTTGATGTCTTTCAGAGAGATTAAAATTGCCACAAGAATGGGTTTATAATTTATTAAGGAAATGTCATGTCATTTTAAAAAAAAATTAGTTTAAATTTCTTATGTAAATAAAATTTAGTGTATATTTCAAATTTTGTTTGACCTAATTTTTGCTATAAAGCTTGGATAGAACTTTGTTTTTCAATATCAACCACTAAGGGTTTTTACTAAATTTAAATAAGCAATAAAAGATATTCAGAGTACAATAATTTGGTGTTGGTTTTATTCCTCGATAAATCGTTAGTAGTGCTAAATGGGTGATTAACTTTGAATGAAGTCCAAGAGGAATCATTGAAGTTTTGTAAATAAATTTGTTCAAAAATAGAATTAATACTTTTCTAGAGCTCAAGAGGAGGTAGGGGGTGAGAGAGAGAGAGAGTAATTAGTGAACCACACTTTGATGTGTGGGATTAGGTTTACATGTATGTGTTTGTGCTTAAGAGGCACGGAGGGAGGGAGGGAGGGACGGAAGGATGGTCCATCAGATCTTCTAGTTGTGAAGTTGTTATGCAAATCCACTTATTCAAGCCCATAACAATCTTTCTTAGCACAAATCAGAAGACTACCAAGTCATAAAATATGATTATCCATACTGACATATCTCATTATTCTCATCCATTTTCCTATGATTTTTTGTTCTCATGTATGTTCAAATGTAATTTAGAGGGAAGACATTTTTACTAATCCTAAATGATTATGTAACTTGAGGGAATGTGTACACAAGCCAAAGGGAAGAAGAGAGAATCAATGGAAATACAACCTAAGAGAAGGTTTGAGAATAGGTACACAATCTAGAGAGAAAGAGATAGAGGAAGAGGAGAGGAGGATTCAAGAAATCATGCTTTGATTTCAATATTCTTTAATTCGTTCATATAATCCAAGGCACCATTTATATAAAAGAGGGTCCTTAATTCATGCCTTAAATATACAAAATTAATAAATAAAACATATAAGGTGTCATTATATATATAACAAACAACATGATTAAAAAATCTTCAAAATTTATTTGACATTGACACATGATGATTTATTTGGAGAAGATTTGATGGTTGTTATGGTTTTGTGTCATTCACTCAACTAAATAATACTCTTCTCCGAAGAGTTGGAAGGTGGCGACCATAGTGGAGGTGTGATAGCTAGATTACGAATAGATTGAAGTGCTATATATTCAAGTCTTGGAAACATCAATTGATTTGGATTCTTTGAATAAGATATAATAATTATCAAAGTTCTCTGGTATCTTAGCTAATTGAACCAATAGTAGTCAAGGACAATAGGGACGCAAGCTCAACAAACTATAATGGTAATTAAAGCAAATTGAAATCTCATAAAAACAATAAGGTAGGTAGAAAAATAGTAGATCATTGCTTGTTACTCATTAGTGAACAAATTCTATTGGAATATTAATTGAAGGAATCTCGATAACATCTTATGGAAACTGAGTGTCTGACTTAGGAAGCACAAATTTAAGTTGAATCAGACTTTAGAGTTGACTGAGCTATCAGATGGCAAGAAAGCAATGCAGAATAAATGAGTTTACAAGCTGAAAGAAGAATTTAATGGTAGCAAATATCATAAGGCTAGACTTATAATTAAAGTTCTTAGTAGGAGTGAATTACACTAAAATTTTCTCTTTAGTGGGGAAGATGATCACAATCAAAGTTAAGTTTGAGCATAGTAGCAGTAGAGGATTTACATCTAGAGAAGATGAATGTAAAGATAGCATATCTTCATGGTGACTTGGAAGAAGAGTTGCACATGATGCAACCTTAGGGATAGATGGTCACAAGTAAAGAAGATTTAGTGTGTAGACTCAAAAAGAGCTTGTATGGGCTAAAGCAAGCACCAAGAGAGCTGTACAGGAGATTTGACATGTTTATGTTAGACAATGGGTACATGAAGTGTCAAGTAGATTATTGTTGTTTCTTCAAATATTTTGATAATTATTATATATATAATGTTGCTCGTGTATGTGGATGTCATGCTCTTGTAGGGTCAAATATAGAGAATATAAGATATATGAAGGCGCAATTATCAAAGAAGTTTGAAATAAAAGATTTTTGCCCAATAAAGAAAATTTTCAATTTGAGAATCAACAGGGATAAAAGTACAGGTATACTGAAGTTAACTCAGGTTGAATATGTTAAAAATGTGTTGCAAAGATTCAACATAAGTGAAGCAAAACCAATTTGCACTCCCTTAGATAGTCATTTTCAATTATCTTAAGGTACAATCGCCTAAATCTAAAGCAAAGCAAGAATAGATGGAGAGGATTCCATATACTTTATCAGTTGGACGTTTGATGTATATTATGATCTGTACGAGACTAGAGATAACATATTCAATGGGAGTAGTTAGCAAATTCATGAGTAATCCAGGCAAACTTCATTAGGAGGTGGTTAAGTGGATTATCAATTACTTGAGAATGTCAGTTGATAAAGTTCTTTGCTTTGGATATATATGTATTGAACTACAAGGACATGTTGATTCTAATCTTACTAAAGATATTGATGATAGGAGGTTATATCTTATCTTTAGAAGACACAATAGTGAGTTAGGTTTCAAAGTTATAAAAGATTGTTGCGCTCTTAACTACAAAAGCTAAGTACATTTTTATCACTGAAGCTAGCAAGAAGATAATATGGTTGCAAAGTTTTATGGCAGAATTTGTCAAAGGGCAAAAGAATAAGAAGTTGCATAGTGCCAGCATGATTGTTATTCGTTTAGTCAAGAATGTTGTATTCCAGGCCTAGGCGAAACGCTTTTAGCTTCAGTATAATTTCATCAGACCACTTCTGAAAGATGGTCAATTATCTTTGAAAAAGATACACACGGCCCAAAATCCTACATACATGTTGACGAAATGGTGACAATTGATAAACTAAAGCTATATGTAGCTTCAGTTGGTCTGCATGAAGTCTAAAGGCAAGGAAAAACTACACTACAAACACTATGTTGGGTGCTATAGATCGGGATACATATTGATTGTAATCAGCTTCCAAGTGGGAGATTGTTAGTTCTGTGTGGAATCTATTTGTTTCGATCAATCAAGTTGTACTATTTATTATGACCTCAATTACGCCGGTCAAACTTGTTGGGGGGGGCTCTTCCCGTGGCTGCCTTTCCTCTCCCCGTGGCTGCGAATCTAATCTGATGTAGGAAGGGGGGGGGGGCAATTCATGTGCCTTAATTTTGGGAAGATTTGGACTTAGTTGTTTCAATTTTTGCTGTCCCTTTTGGAAAGCTGATGTGTTTCTTCTTAAACCAGCTCATTAATGTCTAATTATAGGTGAAAAGAGGTAGTTAAACAGTCCAAAACACCACCAGCCGAGCCACTCAAGACAGGGGAAACATAAGGCTACCAAGCGGTCCAGGAGCAGTAGCCGAAGGGCCACAAGGGGGACAGGAATGGGCGCTCACAGGGAACCGGAACAGGCAGCCACGAAGAGAGGAGAAGCCAGCCACGGGATAGGAGCCAGGGGAGGAACCGAAAGGCCAGCATAGGGGGGGAGTGAACCCAATTAACTCCAATTTATGAGCTGAATAAGCAGCAGCTCAACTTTAATGAGCTAATTTTAGTAGAGAACATAGTAGCTCACCAAAGGGGACAACCCAGACTTCAACCCAAAATTAATTGCCCCCCTTTGCCTACATCAAGGAATATGTCGCTTAGGGTGGTTAATGTATGTCTCTTTGTTAGTTTTGTAAGTCAATAGTGTGGAGAGTGAAGAGAGACAAGGAGAGAGTGAGAGAGAAAGAGGTTTGTATATTTTCTCCCATTTTCATAGTAAATTTCTTTGTGTGGTGTAGTTCCATGTTTTTTTCCTGATTTCAGATTTTTCCTCATTAAATATTGGTGTTCCGTCATTTATGCTGTTTTTCTTTTCTTGTTTGTGTTCATTGTGTGTCTTTACTTCCCAAAATGTTGTTTGTGAAATGATTTTATCACACCAAAAGTCATTTGAGCTGAAGTTATTTTTGATTGAGGAGCTCCTTTTTTTTTTTAAAGTTATATTTTTGGTGAATCCATGAGTTAAAACTCAAGTGCATTTTCGTATATTAAGGGAAAATTTGTTTTATTATAAGTGTTTGCAAGTGATTGAATCTCATTATCAAAATTGAGCTCAAGCTTCTTCGTTTTTTTTTGGGTAGAAATTGAAAGGAGTGAATTCACTATCTAGGAATGCACATTCAAAATGGTGGGAAATGAGTTTCAATTTAGAGGGCTAGAAAGATAGTTTCAATGTTACTATTTTATTTTAAAACAATTGAATAATAATAAATTAATGGGATGATGGGCTACCTTTTACTTACAATAATGATAAAATTATCAACAAATAATGAGGGTGGTTAAAAATGAAATTTACCACTATAAAAAACTAATAATAATAATTAATGTATTCCTGCAATATAATTCATTTCCAGAATTAAAATTTAAATATTTATGGCAAAATAAATTGGCCTTAAGCGAAAGTAGTTTTTCAAATCTCTTAAAAATATTTCTCGACTCAACAGTGTTTGATTCTAGATTAATATGTTGATTTGAAAATTTTTTGGAATGTTAAAAATTGTTGCTATAGAATAGCCATAAGATTGCATATTTTGCAGCTATTAGTTTTTGCTAAGCTACTGTTTTGAATGATGCGAGCATTCAGTTTATATTGAGTCTTATAATATTGAACACTTTGATAGTAGTGATTATCATCTCATAAAAATTAGTCCACTTAAAAAAAAGAGGCTCATAGATCATATGATTGCATGATGCAGTGGTTGTTTGTCCTCTCATATTTGATCTCATG